GAAATCAGTTGTTAATTGTTAAATTAGCATCTATAAGCAAGGTTGTTAAAATTGGGATCCTACGTTGGATCGTTGGAGGTATTTATAGGATCGGATTGTAGAATCGGATCGACGATCGTAAGATCCTACCGAAAAAGGCAAATTACAAAATAATTTAATTTAAATAAATATTTCTTATAAAGTATACACAAAATGAACCTATATTTCTATTAAAAAGAAGTGAACATATTGTGAAAAATATAATATTCCATGTAAAATGTACATATAATATTATGCAATAGAAAACTCGATGGTAAAAGTTCTATATTTTAGCAAAAAAGAAGGTGAAGAAGAAGAAGAATTCTATAACAAAATACTTTACAATGTACAATAATGCATAAAAAGTGAAGAAAAAATATTTAACAAAAATGGATATGAAAATAGATTAAGAACTCAAAAGAGTAGCTTAGTCGAATGATAAGATTTGTCGTTTGCATCCCTAGTGGAGCGGATTCGAGTCACAAAAATAATTTCTCCAGAAATTGGAATAAAGTTGCAATCATCTTACCCTTCTTAGACTCCGCTAAAGCTAAGTTTGTTTTTCCGACTATTTAATTTTCTTAAATTACCGCAATATTTGAATGTTTGTTTCTTAGTTTGTTTTTCTTAGTCTATTTGATTCAATACTACCTAATTTTTATTATTTATTTTGATGGCATAAATTAGTATTTAGCAAACAAACATAAAATTACAACAAAATATGTCATACAATATAAAACAAGGCTTGTAAATTAAATCAGATAGGATCGGATTCGGATCGGGATTCCACGATCCTATAAGATCCCACTACTAGGATCGAAAGATCCTACCTATAAGGAGTTTTTTATACGATCCGGATCGATTGTACTCAAATGGATCGTAAGATCGTAGGATCGTAAGATCCGGATCGGGATTCTGATAACCATGTCGATAAGAGTTAGCCTCTCCACCCTTCCAAAGAACCAAGTGCTTGCCATCTAATTTGGGTTGTGCTCAAATTACCAACAAATTTAAGCTGAATTATTATATCATCCACCCTTCATACAAGCTAGACCAAAATTTAAATATTGATAGCACTAAAGTATCACTATTAACTAAGTAATAATTAGTATTTTAAAATCTTAGCAGAGACAACCCAATCTACGCTCATTTCCACCTCTTCAACTTTAAAAAAATTAATTTTTTGTCGAAAATGTAAATAAGATTTCTAGAACAAAGCTACATGAAAAAGGTGACAAATCCAACTGCTAACCATAATGCGACCCCCACAAGTGACAGAGGCATTAATGCGTGTCATTCCGGTCATCGTCCACCAAAACACAAACTGGGATCCCAAAATTTTGTTTAAAAAAATTCTTGGCAGAGTCATAAAATTTTACAGCCCTATCACCCCTTTAAATCCAAGTCTATTCTAGCTCTTTCACACACTACAAAGTCTAGAACCTTTTCTTTCAACCTTTTCAAAGCCAAATCAAAGAATATAACTATGTAACTATGTAACCTTAGGCATGTAAATCCTTCGGTGTTGTGTGATGTTTACTTCTTCACTGTTCCCAAATCCACAGGACATGCTACCCAAGCTCGCTAATTATTGCCCCACGGTTTGGGGTTGCAGGAAACCAAAACCACATTTATATGTGGAGATTAATATCTTCATTGGATGTGTGAGCTTGTGGCCAGCCAATAAAACTACACAAAGCCTTCGATCTCCTTCATGGAGTAACTAATATTTTTACTGATAAACACACGGAAATCAAACAAGAATTTTGCCAAGCCAATAATATTTTTACTTATCAAACAACCAGGCATAAACTAAACAACTTGAATTCTTAAAGAGTTTATTCCCAGCACAAAATAGAAATCTAATATGTTCGTATTCATGACAACACTCGCACCAGCAAAATTTTACAAATAAATAAATCCCAATTGGAGTATAAAATATGTACCTTCCAAAGCCAAAGTGTGGTAATTGAAGTTTCAGCAACGGAGAAAAAATGCAGAGAGACCCAGAAGCGCAGCCAAAACCAAGCCTTGCTCTTTGAAAACAGTAGCAGCCAACACAATAATTCCCCGCTTCAGAAAAACCTCCAGAAACCCTAATTTCACACTTGGTAACCAAGTCTTCAACACCACGAAACTCACTATATTAAGCACAAAAGCCTCAATTTGTTGGAATTTTGAAGCAATTGGTGGGAATTCGACAATTTTTTAGGAGGTATTCTAATCCATGAAAAGATGTGGATGGATTGAGAAGTGCTACTTTCAAGAGAATTCTAAACAATTTGTAGAAATCGTGGATGCGAATCGGAAACAAACACTCTTGTTTTGGTGCTCGATGGAGGTGGTTGGTTGTGCCTATGAGTGTGGTGATGGTCTTCATCAGTAAGGTGAGCGATGCTTTTCAAGACCGGCAAGGTGTTCGACAAAATGCCCCAACGATGAAATGGCCACCACGGTTATACCTTGACAACTCTTCTTGTTATTCTACATCAGCACCATCACTGTCCCATGTAGTTGTGTGGTTTTAAGAGATGCCCACAAGGTGTTCGATGAAATTGCTCTAAATTGTGCTCAAAAAAACTTATTTGTTATAATTTTTGAAAATAGTTTTGAGTTTAAAAAAAAATTGTGTTTGGTTTGACATTCTAAAATTAATTCACCCTTGTATTCTAATGCTATGTTTAGTTTAAGTTTTCAAATCACGATTCCAAATTAATTTCAAAACACATTTTGAAAACATGTTGTAAATTAGATAATTTTTGAATTTTTTATTTACCCGGTCGTCCGTTCGGACGTCCTCCCGCACAGTTTTTGAATTTTGGATCTACCCAGTCGTCCCCCAACATCCTCCCAGATGTCCGGCTGGTTCGCCGGAACAATACCTTTTCTTTTTTTTTTTGCAATTGTCAATCGCCACCTATTATTTGAAAAAAAAAATTATATTTGTTTTGTATATTTTTTAAATATAGAAATTATTTTTTAGACAAAAATGACATCATTTTTTTAAATTGAATTTTAAAAGAGTTTGGTTATGAATGGAGTTTTGAGTTGTGTGTTTGGTTATGAGTTATAAAGTTGCGTTTGGTAGAGTTTTATAAATGATTTGAGAGTATGAGTTGTATTTTGAGTTTGTAAGTTGTGGAATTATTGATTTGAGTGTAGAAAAATTGATTGGTTATGGTTTTTGAATAGAGTGTTGAATTGAGTTTTGAATTGAGTGTGGAATTAAGTTTTAAAAGTTTGATTTGACATGTGAAGTAAGAAAATTTGTTTGGTTATGAGTTTTGAAAATGGAAAATGTCTCGTAACTCAAATTTTGTGGCTCAAAAGTGGCTCAAATGGCCAAAACGACGTCGTTTTGGTCATTTTTATGTTGTTCTATACTCAAAACGACGTCGGTTTGGCCATTTGAGCCACTTTTGAGCCACAAAATTTGAGCTACGTAGCATTGTCTTTTGAAAATTTTCAAAACTTGATTCAAATTGTTATAACTCATAATAAAACACACTACTTTCACACTATTGAAAATTCTGATCAATATTCATAACCAAACTCTTTTTAAAATTCAA